CGGCAAAAAAGCCAGAGCCGGCCCTGTCCTTTTACGGTGCAGGTAGTCCGGCATGGAGCACGTTGGCGCACGCCTTCCTCTGCCGCCTCCGAGGGCTCCGATATGACTGGCAGCTCTTTTTTGTCCACCCGAGGGGTCTTCCGCGAGACCTCTCAGAGCTGCCGGTCTTCTACCAAGACCTCCTCCAGACCTGGAAGCTTTTTTCGGTGACCAGGTCCTTTGTGGCCACCGAGAGGGCGGACCTCCTCACGGAGCCCCAGCTACACAACCCCGATCTGCGTGTGCAGGTGGCGGAGTCTCCCTTCGTGCACCGGAGGTTGGTCCTGGCAGAAACCACTAGGGTCGGAGACCTCCTGGACTATGACGGGGGCACTGGGTGGATCCCCATGTGCTTGGTGGGTGCATGGGGCTCTCCACCCTTACGACCCCCCTGCGCGCGTACTCCAGGAGGTGGAGGCCGCCTTGTCACCTGTTTCTCTCATCTTCCTGCAGCGGGCCCTGCGAGAGGGCGCTCCCTGCCCACCCCTCACCCTGGGCCTCCGGACATTGTTATTCGGCCCCTGTTCCGCGAGCGAGCCCACCTGGCCTCACCGTTCCCACACTCCAAGCCGGCTGCGTACTCTGCAGCTGGTCCGGTTCCGAACCAAGCCTAGAGACCAACTGTACATGCTGGTGCTCCACACGCTGCATTTCCTCACCCTCGCGTCCCGCCCAGACACCAAATGGCGGGACTGTCTTCTACCTAAAGAGGGTGAGGAGCCCCGGTGGGCCAGCCTCTATTCCACCTTGGTTCCACGGCCCGCCGGGGACATCGGTTGGCGGCTCCTTCATAGAGCCATGAGCACGGGCGTGTACCTGGCGCGGTTCACACCCATACCCGAGGCCTGCCCCTTTTGCGGCGTGAGGGAGAACTTGGTGCACGCCTATCTCGAACGCGCCAGGTTGCAACCCCTATTCTGGCTCCTCCAGAACCTCTTGTTGAGGTTCTGGCTGCACTTTTCCCCACACCTGTTCCTTTTCGCACACCCTATCTGTGGCCCCACGAAGTTGCAAGACCTCCTCATCAACCTCCTCCTGGTCCTGGCCAAGCTCTCCATCTATACTACCAGGAGGAGGATGCTGGACGAGGGGGTGCTCTGCGACTGGGGGGCCTATTTCCGTTCCTCCCTAGTTTCACGTATCTGGGCACAGTTTCACTGGGCAGCGTCCGCTGGCTCCCTGGACAGCTTAGAGGAGCAGTGGGCGCTGTTTGGGGTTCTCTGCTCGGTGTCCCCATCCGGTACTGTCATTTTAAACCTATGACCTTCACGTCACTCCCTGGTTTTCTCATTTGTTGTCCCCCGCGTTCATTTGGTCCCTGGGTCCAGTGGTCCCTCCCGCTGGGTTGGGGGAGGGGCCTTTAGAAGTGGGCGGGCTTGCGCCCGCCCACCTCTCGGGTTTCCAATAAGACTACAAGCCCCCACCAAATGAATTAGGTATGTGTAAATTGTGAACCTATAGAACTTTGACTAGGACTATATTCCTTTCAAATTTGTACTAAACATTTACATATGTAAAATCAATGTTTATATATTCAACTGCATATTTCTATTGTAAAACAAAACAAGGGGGCAAAGATAAAGTTGGGTAAGTGGTTGTTAGTTGAGTGGAGTCACAGTGCTCCACACACAGTGGCTCCTCTACACTCCAGTATCCGCTCTCACTGCACCAGTTGCTTACAGCATTCGATGCCTCTTCTGGTTCTTTGCACTCTCTTCAGTGTCTGCTTCTGAAGCAGAATTCAGTCTAATACATTTCCTGTGGAAAGAGTCTTTGGGAACTCATAGGCAGGGCCGTAGCAACAAAGAACGTGGCCCCCTCCGAACATATGTCCGGGCGGGGCCCCTTACAATGCAGAAACTGGAATGCAGTATTTATTTTGCCACTTTTAGGGGCCCCCTTCCTTGCGGGGCCCCCTCCGGTCGGAGGGTACGGAGGGCGCTCGCTACGCCTCTGCTCATAGGGTTGCCACCTCTAAAGTACAAAAAACTGGAACATCCGAGAAGATCCTGTGCCTATAAAACTGGACAGATGATAGTGTGTACTGAGCACCCTTCTAGATTTCCCAGGACAGTTACCTTCAAAAAAGGAATGAAACTAGGAAAACCTGGACAGATGGCAACCCTAATGCCTGGAAGAGCAAGAATGTGGAAACCAAGATGAGAGGTTATTTGCTCACAGGTTGACCTCTGCATCTCCAAGAGATACTGAGAATGGAGATCTTTCCCACAGAGTGCTTTGGAGGGGGGAGAATGGAAAAAGGCAACATTAGCTTAGCCAGTCAAAAGTTTCCATCTGCTGGGAGAAAGGAAACAAACTAGTATGCACAGCCAGCTCAAATTTTCTCTATGGGGGCACTCTACAGGGGGTGGATGTCTGAAACATTTTTGTTTGTATCCTTTCTTGTTTGGCTGATAGGAATTCATGTTAACTTGTACCTGGGCTGTATATTTGTGCATCCAAGCAATCAAATATAAAATGTCTGTCTGTTCTTACTGAATGTTTATTTTTTGGAAGAGTCTATTGATTGGAGAAAAAATTATTTATTTAATACACAAAAATATAGGATAAATTTGGTTGATTTTTAAACTTGTTGGATCTCAAGACAATGATAAACTTTTCATTTCCAGTGGGGTTTCAATAAAATCCTTGTAAACTTCTTTCATTTCTTCACATCTAAAATACCTGCAGATAAGAGGAATACATATCACATATGCCTTTATCTATACAATGTAGCCATCCAGTAACGGCCATGCTAAAGATAAATCTCTTCTGAAATATTCAGTGTTTTTAAAGTAACATTCCTTTTTGCTTTCTCAGGCATTTTCTCTGTTTGATAAAGAAGGCATTGGGGCAATTAAAGCACTGGAATTCCGCCAGGTACTTGACCATTTCTGCTTTAAACTATCGGACAGGCAATTCAGGCACTTACTCAAGAAGCTAAGGATTTATGAAAATCATACAGTAGACTGGAAATTTTTCCTGAAAAATATTAATCTCCTCTTAGAGGTAAGTCTAGCTACCAAGCTGTAAGCTGTTTCTTTTAAAAATGAACTCAAATGCCTTAAAATGAATGAATTCAATAAGCTTGCTAATTCTAAATAAATGGTCAGGTGCAGCTTCTCCCGTCAAATATCTCTTGCAGTCAATGGGATGTTGGGAATTTCTGTTGAGTAAGCAATGAGTAAGGACAAGTGAATAGGGTCTCTCATATAAGAAAGAACATTCATTAGAATTAGCAAATTATGGCATTGATTCTGCAAGGTACTCCATGGGAACAGAGGGCTTTGCTAGAATAGAGTAACTAGTAAGGAGGGGGAATTACAGAAAGATGACTGATTTTGGGTCTTGAACAGGCTTATTTAATTCATTTTTTCAGTGATTAATCCAATGTTTTACTCTGAACAAATGTATTAAAATGGGAGGGCCAAATTCAGAGGTGAGTTTAATAAGTATAAAGGAAATTTCAATTGGTGAAATTTACAACTTCTGACACCCTCAATGAGTGTGTTACACAAACTTAGCCTCACTCAAGGTTCACTTAATTGTGGCCCAGTCATGTTATCTGACACTTACACCCACATAGACTCCACTGAAGTTAATGGGACTCTACACAGACGTAAGATGAGGACCTTAGATTTACACTCACACCCACTTAACAATTTGGAACCTCCCTGTCCCCCCACCCAAATGTAGGAATTAAGAGCAGGTAAAGACGGTATACAGAGGTTTCCATTCTATTTAATTTACACATTCCTACACCTTCTTCCAGTTGCTTTGCATGTCCTACCATAGACTCCCTTACACAATGATAAATGGCTGTAAGTAAGTCTAACTGAGTGCAAGGGAGGCTAAATTATGCCCCTTTGCAGTTCACTTCTAAATTTGGCCAAGAGAATCAAAAACTATTTGTATCAGTTAATATAGTAGTCCTTAAACAAAATAGAATAACTTGCATCTTATGCCTTAAAAAGCAGCGACTGTTTCATTTGCAAAATATATGCTTGCAGGACAATAAAATGAAAAAAAAAATTGTCATCCAATGGAAAACCATATAAAAAGCCTTTTTACTTTATTACCATGGCAATAATAGAATGTTGTGCAAAACAAATTCATACAGAACTATATGGTAATTAAATATTATGTCATAATGTAGCAACTGAAAAACCAATGAGATTTCTACTTTGTGTCTGTTTATATTCCAAATCAAAAAGTCTGTTAGGCATTAAAGAATAGCAGGATTAGTTTCTTTCTTAAGAGGAAGAAAAGGACTGCAATTTTCAAATGAAGGAGAACCCGCAAACAGCTTCAAAATGTTTGTAATATGTATATGTCAGTTGTCAATAGGAATATTTAGATTCACTCTAGGGTTTATTATAAGTGCAACTGTGTCCATAGTTTAACACATTTTACTGTCAGTAAATTTAGCATTTACATTTATAGTATTGTGTCTGTTACTCTGTCCATAATGGCAGGAAAAGGCTAGTTAAGTATGGGTAGAGTAAAAGTAGTTTTAAATACAGTTCTTTAAAAAAATAAGATTTTTAAATATTTACATTTTCATCATATTAGCAAAATGACTAACTAACATGATAGACTATCTGGTTCTCAGATTTGATACATTTGTGTTCATGTATGCATAGAATTAAAACACCTTATTCACACCTCTGTTAATACAGACCCAATATTGTATTAGTTTTACGAGTGTATTTGTATGCAGCAATAATGGTCCTTTAGCAAGCTTTCACATTAGATAACCTTTTTTGATACCTAGGGTTGTTTCTGGTATATCTTGAGCCTCCAAGGGGCCACCCTCCTTAACTCATGTTGAAAAAGCTCAGCACCTCACAGGATCAGGCCCTTAACAAGACTAATTCTGCATTAGAAACTTCTTTAGTGCTGAATCTTTCAAGATGCTGAGTAACTCCTGGAAGTTGCTAAGCCAATTACTTCAGCAGGAAATTAAGATGCTCAATATCTTGCTGGAGGTGCTTAGTATTTCACAAGATTGAACCTTAAATTGCTTCTGTTTGAACAGCATTTTTTTCTCAGTGAATCAATATTTTTCTGGCACTTGAATGTGCTGTGTGTGGGATAGATGAGAGAAAACCATCAGTAAAATTCCAAATCTCTCCAGATGGGAGAATTTTGTTTAAAAGTAATATGAACCAGATCCATAGTATCAGCTTCTAGATCCCATCAAATCTGATGTTTTCAATTTGAGTTCAAATGAAAATTCTGTTCCTTTGCAATTTCATCCCGCTGTGGGCCCACATTCATATCTGGGCTGGAGCACAAGTTGCAAGGGGAGGCTGATCATTAAACTATTCACCTCTTCCAAATATGCAATAATTTTGACTTTTAAAGTATGTAGCTAAATTAATGAGGTATGCAACTCATTCAATCACATTATGAAATCTTATTATGTTATACAACTTGATCACTGAAATATATGCAAAAATAAGTAGTAAAGTATTCAGCTTGATCATTAAGTATGGAAAATTTACTGAACTAGTAAAATATGGGCCTGGGATGACTTTTGTCTCAAATGGCACCTCATAAATAAAACCCTCAACCACAAAGGCAAACATTTACAAGCCCAGAAGCTATACAGGTTTAAGATATATTTTATGCTTAGAAAACTGCTGAATAAGAGGAGGTGAGAACATCTTGGGGAAATTATTTCAAAATTTTATTCATCGTTAGGGTCTTTGGATGGTTTTGATGTATGCTAATGAGATTTATATTCTGATTAATTCTCTATAATACAAACAACAATAGGTCTGATCTGATGTAAATGAGTGAGATGTCAACTGAATCAGAGTTTTCTGTAGAGGTGCATGAGTATACTGTCAAAAATAAGATTAAAGAAATGTAAAGCATTTTAAGCACTGTGACTGAAGTGTGATAAAGATAAGGAGGTGAGAGAGAATTCTGATTGGGCCATTTACCTCTGATATTATTAAGCAGCTACCTAAAAGTGAGCGGATGGTACAGCAATAGCTGAGAAAGGGGTCACATTTTATGTTGTGATACTGCTAACCAACGAAGAACATGTCTTAGGGCCTTTAGTAAAGTGTCCAGTCCAGTGGACTATTTACCACTGTGGGCACATACGCAGCTCTCTATGTGTTACGTGAGCCGTGTCCACACAATATGTATACTACCTGAACATCTACAAAAAAGAAGGTTTAGTATTTGTTATATGATAGCAACGTGATTCAAATCGATATAGTACCTTTCATTTCAACACTGGCAAATGTCTACCAAGAGCATTTTAAATTAGCAAAATAAGTCAAAACATTAACTGTTAAAATTAATTAATTTGCTGCCAGGGTGGTGTGGCTGAGCTGAGCACCCAGAGAGCATGGCTGCGGAGCCTGTCTGCAAAGATGGGGAGCCCTACCCGTTGTGGTGTGCCATCCCCACAGCCAGAGACTACCCCAGGCACCCAGACACCCAGGAACCCAGCCCCTCCGATCCCCCCAGCTAGGAACTGTCTCCCAGCCCTTCCTCAGACTGCCCCCCTAGCCAGGGAATGCCCCCCATCACCCAACCCCCCTGGGATTGTCCCACCAGCATCCAGACCTCCCCAACACTGGGCTGGCACACATTCCTGCCCTGCAGAGACAGGGTACCTTATCCACGGCAGAACAGCCCCCCTAGGGACTTCCCCCTCCAGGATCCAGTCCCCCACCCAGGGACTGCCCCCCGGCAACTGCCCCCAGCACCCTCCCCACCCCAAGGACTGGCTCCCAGCACTCAACCCCTCCATCCATGGACTTTGCCCCAGTATCTAGTTCCCCCATCCAGGGACTGCCACCAGTCCCATCCCCCCCCAAATCTGTGCCCCATGCACCCGCTGCACCCATCTCCATGCAGTCCTAGCCCCCTGCACCTCTTCCCTTCACCCTCCATGACCCTAGCCCTCTGTACCTCCCTCCCCTCCCCCGCTGGTCTCCTACCTCGGCTGCAGGTAGATCAGCCGTGCAGCCCACCCTGCTCCCCTGCTGCTGCAGTCCTAGTGCTGGGAAGCCTGCTCCAGCCAGGGTCACTGGACTGGCAGAGTGTGGGGGCACTGAGCACCCTGGTCTCCTGCCAATGCTGCTGGGCCCAATCCTGCCAGGGGAGGGCTGATGCCGGTGGGCCTGATCCTGCTAGGGGAGGGCGCTGATGCTGGGCCCAATCCTGAATCACTCCATTTTTGCACCCTCATGCCAGCTCTGTGCCTGGGGCGAGTGCCCCTTCCACCCCACCCTAGTTACAGCCCTGAGGATGTCACATGGGCCTCAGCTGTGTGCTGATTGGGCTGCCTGCAGGCTGTGGGTTGAGAACCACTGGTCTAGACCATGGAGCAGCTGAGGATATGCTCCACGACTCCTTCTGTGCTGGCCTGCCAGTCTCAGGGCTAATAGGGCCAGGTTGGAGCTCCCCTACATTAGAAGAAGGGAGTAATGCACCACTCAGGATTTACCTCATGGGAACTTCATTTGACCAAGATCAGGTCCTGGATAAAATATACGAAGATCTGCTGAACTAGTAAAGTGATTTGCAGGGAGGAAAAGTGAAAACATATATAAGAATGGCCATACTGGGTCAGACCAAAGGTCCATCTAGCCTTCATCTAACTCAGTGTTATTACCTGCATGGAAGATTTCTAAAAGTTCACCCCTCTTACCTTGATGACCGGCAGAATGTTGGGCCTTGAGGATTCCAGGACAGGTGGAGGTAACTGACAGGGTCCGCATAAGAGATTTCACTACCCATAAGCAGGGCTGGCTCCAGGCACCAGGCACCCAAGCTGGTGCTTGGGGCGGCACCTGGAGGGGGGCGACGCGGCGCTCCGGCCGCCGGGGAGAGCGGGGCCACAGCTGGGCTCGCCACCCTCCCCCCGGCGCTCTGGCCGCCCTCCCCCCCTGCGCCCTCCCCCC